ACTGCAAAGCTCATTCCTATGCAGCACAGCTGAAGATGTGCAAGAGATTAAGAGTAATGGCTGCCTTTTAAAGTCAAACAACTTAAACACACCACACACAGTAAAGCCAGTACCAGCGAAGCCCATCAGCTACAGAAATAAACCTGTTGCCACAGTACAAAATTAATCTCTCTTAACCACACAAAGTGAGTGAAGCTTTGTGTAAAATGCATTTAGAAAACTCAGCATAAGTGGTATACTGTATACGCAACGACAAGGCAGCAATCCATGAAGGGGATACTGTAGTTTGAGGACTAGTTTTTTGAGTAAAATGCTACATATCCCTTGTTCCTTTTTAATATACACATATTATTTTTATTTAATTTGGTTACAATACCACATCATACAAGAGTTCAGAATGGATTACTTTTTTTGACTGCAACTCCAAGAATCTAAGAATTGTCCATAGAATTAACTTTTCCTAAGCTATGGTTTACAGAGGAAGGCTATCAAAGTAGCTGAACATCAGGAAGGTGGACAGCTGTTTTCGCCATTTGAAAAAAATGCAGCAGTCCCTCTCTCTGCACTCTTCTTCCCAAGTGAGAGCAAATTGTTCTAGCCTTTTGCAACAGCTGGTTAGGAGCCCAGGATGGGAGCCATCAGAAGAGTGAGTTGTCAGAGACTCAAGGTCCTTGCCAGCTCAAGAAAAAGCTAGGAAATGCTGAATTCAGCTTTCACTGTTTCTGTACTAGAATGAGCTACTTATACAGTCCATAGATTCCTCTTCCATTGATTGACACCAGAATCTGCAGCCCAGAACTCTGATCCAACCACACTGAACAGGAATATTTCCCATCAACTTGCTTAAAAAAAACTTACAGCAGCTAAAGAAAGCTGTAATCTGAATTAAAAGTTCAAATGGAGAAAAGGAGAATGCTTCTTAAACTGCGTACTGTGTATCTGTCCCTTCCTTGGCCTGATTTAATCTGAATTTTGTGAATGTGCAATGCCTATGAGAAAGAATATAAGTACTTGTGGTTTTTTTCCAACAAGCCTGAGCAACTAAGGCCTTTCAGGGGTGTTTCACCTACAACTCCTGTCAGTCTTAACCAGCATAATCAGTGTGGATATTGAAAGGGGTTGTGGAAACTGCAGTCCAAAACATTTGAAGACAATGGTTGTCCATCCCTACCTACAGGGTGGAAATAGGGGTGGGTGGGAGGTGGACTTTGGTCACAAAAAATAGCTATAAGAAGGAAAAAAGCAAGTGGGCCCTGATGTATTCAATCTAGATTGCATTTGTTTGGGGCTTATAAGGGTGATCCTCTTGAAAATATTCACACAGTTGTAGCATGTGCTTTCCTTGCTTGGAGACAAAAGCACTACTGAGGATGGCTAAAGAGGATGGGGAAGAATACACAACTGAAAAGCAAGGTTTGGAGGAAAGATTGAGCAGCAAAAGCTGCAGCTAAAGAAACAGGGTATGAATGAGCCGAGGAGACGGTGGAGCTAAGAGAAAATGTCACACAGGCAGGCCATAGGGATAAATGCTGCTAGATACTATTTTTAAAAAGACAAATAAGGAAGCAAGGCTTGGGAATACAAATCAGGATGGGGCGGCTATATCCAATTACTGCAGACCATCCTCCACAAAACTCCTAGAGTGACTACAACTCCCATAATTCCTCACTACTGGTTACAAGTAAAGGGAGTTACAAGTCCAATACCATCCGAGCCATATGTTCCCCATGCAGAACTGCTACGATAAAATGCAATGATAAACCAAAAGGGACTGCAGGGGCCACACTTTTGTAGCTGCTTGTGACTGTATGCCTTTACCAGCAGCCTAATTAAATGTGAGTGAAATAAGACAAATAGGTGACTGAAGCTTTTGCCACTATTTGTTTCCATGTCACGAAGAGTTTTATTTCCTAATTCTATGTGTCAGATAAAGGCTCAAGAGCAGGGTCAATAGAAGGAAAGAGGTAGCAACCCTCAAGCCAAGAAGTGAAGTAGACATGAAATAAATGTTTTTATCTGAGCAACCAACAGGTCATCAGATTACATCAATCCCAGGGATAGGTTGCTTGTAGTTCTCCAGCTGTTGCTGGACTGCAGCCCCCATGACAACTCACAGGCCCAGATCCAATTGTGCACGTGGTCCACTGGCTATTCCAGCTAACACTGATGGGACTTAAAAGAGTCCAGCCATGGCAGAGCATCCATATGTTACCCATCCATGACCTACAGGCTTCTAGAGATCTTCTGATTTCCTAGGAGCCCCACTAGCTACCTTTTGTTTGAACAAAGTGCTGCTTTATTATATGACTGTATACAAATCCCTGCTTCTTTTCTCCAGCCACACTAGGGTGGCACCAAGAAACCTCCCATCTCTGAAACCATTCCCAAGAACTCCTTTGCTGAAACAGGGCTGAAAGGAGGAACTTGTATGAGATTTTTTTTCATGTGATGGTTGCCAGACTGAAGCCAGAATAATCTTGCTCCCACCTACTGAACTCCAGAAAGTGGTTTTCTCTTTTTATTTATAAATCGACAGCAGAAGAGAACAGGAATAATAATTTGTCTGTGCAACAGGCTGCTCTCAATGACTTAATCATCTGGCCTTCCAGGCTCAGAGAGCATGTGGATCTTTCAAAAGACCAACATGCCATCAAGCATTTTTATAGGATGGCAGATCAGAAACTCCTCTAAGTCAGCCCCAGTCATTCAGGCCACATATACTCCAGGAGCTGCTAGAATCCAAGACCCTACTTGCTTTGGCACAAGGGCTGAAAAGGCCCTTAGAAGGACACTAGGATTTGTTGGTTTGCAAGCACATTTCCAAATAAAGAGGCAAACTAGTGCAAAGGTTGCCTTTCCCAGATTTATGTCACTGCCCGTATGCTGATGTCACTTCAGCCTCTGAGGCTGGTTTAAGTTTCCACTGTACCAACATTAACTTTAACATTTAATAAATTAAGACTTTAGATTTGTAATATCCTTTTAAGCAAGTATCACTGTCTGAGCATTCTCCAATTCCCACTCCTATGATGTCTAGCTCCCAACTCTCCTCTGTTTGCAGAACATTATATTAATCTCCTCTGCAACAT